GCTTTCCCCCAGTCATCAAGAGTCGAGTTGGACGCAAAAAGGGAGCCTAAAAGTTCGGCTTTGTCTTTTGCGTCATGGGCCAGTGAGTCATCCTCCCTGTGCAGAGATGGTAGTGATGGCTTACAGAAATTCCCTTGGACTGCCTTGGCGAGAGACCAGAATGCACGGTTTCCCGAAGGAAGACGAACTAGTTTCTCGCCAATTCTGCCTATGTGCTCTGACTTTGCCTTGGCAATAACTCTTTTGAAGGACCTGGAGGCGAAGTTATACTTCTTTTTAAGTGTGCTGGTGTTTACATCCCGAGTCACCGAAACCGCAGCCCAGGCTTGATAACACTCCTGCTTACTGCGTAATGCAGTCTTACAGGAGCGACCGAACCAAGGCTGAGATCTGTCTCCGATGGGTACCACAGATGATGGAATAAATAGTTCCATTCCCTGTAGCACCACATCAGTGACAGAGTCAGCAACAGCGATGGGATCGTCCGGCGAGAAGCAAACCCGCCCCCATGGGTAGGATGCAAAGAAAGACCGCATTCCGTCCCAATCCGCCGACCTGTAATGCCAAACACGGCGGCAATCTGCAGAACGCAACCGCGAAGGGAGCGTGAGTGGCACCACACTCCGGACAGTGGTCCGAAGAGCCGAGAGGGGCATCGACGGAAACCTGATATCCGTCCGGATGAGAGGTCAGCAGAAGGTCCAACAGGGAAGGTGTATGATGCTCCACATCTGGAATCCGCGTAGGCGAAGTAACCAGTTGTGTCAGACCATATGCCAAGGTAAAGTCATAAACAGATCTCCCCGCATGATCGGTTAGACGTGAACCGAGCCATTCGGCATGGTGGGCGTTAAAATCGCCAAGGATCACGATCTCTGCGGATGGGACCTGTTGTAGCAAGGAATCTGTAGCCATTTGGACGTGGTCGATGAGTCGGTCTGTTTCGGCATTACCGCTATGGGACCTATAGAGGCACCCGTAGACGCGCGGATGGTCGTTGCTGTCTACGCGTAGCCAAAGGATGGACAGGTCCAAACCTTCAAGACTGCCGAGGCGTCGAGAACAGATGTCCTCTCTGACATACACGCAAACTCCAGCCCGAGGCACAAAGGAATGCTCCAATTTGTACCCCGGGTAGGAGAGATACGAAATATCAGCCGGAGAGGATACCTGCGTCTCGGTCAGAAAGAGCAAGGCCGGCTTCGCCGTCTCGAGATGGTAGTGGACGGCGTTTAGGTTAGAGTGAAGTCCCCTGATGTTGCAGAAATTCACGGATAGCGTGGCAGGGGTCGCCTTGGTGTTCTTGCTCAGTTTGCCCCTAGCAGTTATGCTTTTGAGCGGAATTTTGCCCCCACCCCCCAGAATACGCGGGGCAGCCTGAGCACCCACGCACAGGATCGGAATAACATGGTCGTGGATGCTCAGCGAGGGATTCTCCAGGGGTACTGGTACCCTCCTGGGGTAGTTCATCGTGTAATTCCGCTACCATGTTGATTGGGGGGGGGGGGGGAATTTGGCCTCCGGCCACCTGCACTCACCAGACGAAACGCAGAAGCAGAGCTTCTACTTCACGCCGGTATTCTGTGAGGTCGTGGTACCAACCCGGCTCGAGCCGGCCCATACATGCAACAGCAAAAACTGCTGCGTGGCTCTACCACCGTTAATATTTATATTTATTATTTATATGAATTATTAAGAATAATTATTGAAAGTCACTCTTTTGTTTAACTACCACTGCTGGTTCAATAAAAAAAAAACTTTTATAAAAAAATAACAGCTAACAATTATGTATGTTACACAATTGACACCACAAAACCAATTATAAATAGCTTGGTAGCGATCACCTCATTACACAGACCACAGAGATTACTTGCAGAATACCAGCGTGAAATATCAGTTTAATGTTGCTGTGTATTGTATGGTGAGTGTTGAGTACTGGAGACCCTTTTAACGTAACGGTAACGAGATATCCTATCGTAAACAACAGGGGTAGCAACGTGTCTAGATTTTAATTCTTTAACGAGAATAGAGGTAGATGCCTTTGGGCCACAGCACACATTTAAGTCTGTCAAAACTCTACTACTGTATAAAGATTGCTATGCTTGGCAGGTGGGGTGGCAACTGCGTTGTTTATATGAGATGAGTTTCCGTTATTCATTATAGCTCTGCGGGCCTACGGTGCTACGGTGCTACGGCGCTAGCAACGCTACGGTGCTACGACATTACTCGGCTAAGGTGCTACGGCACTGCTGGCCGCTGCTGGTATTCGCACCGCGCACAATTACACATTCTGGGAGCCCACTACGAAGTATTTGCAAAACTTGGTTAGTTCCGATCAGTTCAGTTTCTGACCTTAAACATAAATGCTTTACTTGGCACTATGAACTACACTTAGCTCAACTGTTTTACACCCGTATAATGACTTGCGACGGCTTTGCTCAAGAGTTAGCGTTGTTTATGTCTTTATTTGGTTAATTGTTCAAGTTACAGAACGCTATACGAATGTTACATTATCTCTTTAATTTTAAGGTCGGTATTAAAATTAATCCAATATTCTTGTAATTGTTTAACACCAATTAAAGAAACGATAAATTAAATAATTACCACTTAAAATGAGGTACTAATATGCTTCTGAGATATTCAAAAAGAAAACATGTGTGCAGAGAAGTGAAACCTTCAAATCAAATTAAAAATAAAACAAAAATATTTTGGAGCAAATGATTTATTTAATTTGATAATTTTTAACGACAAGTGCGACACAAAATATAAGAGTAAAGTTTGATTTTATGGTTGTCGTTGCGTAACTTATTCTCAATTAGAAATTCTATGTGAGAGCAGGTTGCCCAAACGCTCAATTCATTAGGAGATGTTGCCGTTAAGGACGTAAAAGGATAGTCTGCCGCAAGTACCTCTCGTAAGTGACCGAAAATTTTTAGCATTGTAATTATTTTTTTTTCTTTCTATGAACTTTAGCAGTTCAAAATGCGTATTATTTATATGAACATTCAAAAAAGATATCATTTTCATTATTGGATTGGTTACGAGAAGCTGAAGAAGCAGTGTGCTACTTATGAGATCTGCACGATCTCGACCGATGGAGAGTCATCTGATGTTCCACAGCTGACGACTTTAGAAAGTTTTTAAATATTGTGGGTGAATATTTTGGTTTGAGTCTTCCTGTTATTAGTGTAAATCCACTTGAAGATTTTAATATTCATGTAATTTTTTTCTTGTTACTAAGCTACTAATTGTATATCCATTTCCGTGATAACTTAAATTTTATACAACGTACAAAATGAATTTTGCTCCATGCATTTTGTGGTGACAAAAGGATTTAATTCGTAATGATCATTGCTTCACCACATTTCATATTATTTACAGGCCGCATTGACTTCATATATTGTCACAGATACCTCTGCAGGAAGTACAACAATTCTTGGGACAATTAGTTATTCTTGGCACTATTAAACTTATTGAGGATGATAACCTCAGAAGTTCACTAGTGCAAGAACAGCAATAACAGCAATAACTATAGGTTGAAAGTGAACCAGCAGTGCTTGTAGACGTACACTTCCACATCTCATACTGGACCTATGAGTGCACCAGAAGCACATCTCACACCAGCGGTTTCTGTTCCACCAACTGGAGGTGAACAGCAACAAAGTAGACAACGCCGTCAACGTGTCTGTTTTACTCATTAAGAAGCAAGAAGAGCCTTGGTTAAGATGTCCCAATTGCGGACTGAAACGGAGGTTCATAATAGCCGCAATGTTACGGAGTTTCTGTAAGCTCTTTATTGAATTCAAGATGTTTTGAGATTTTTTTGAAATATTTATTTGTACATAGAAAGTAAGTAAACCAACAGTGGTGTATCATCATTTAAAATTTCAATTAATAGTTTCACTGCTGACGGATAGAAGACTACAATTTTAACTGACTTCAAGTGATTATAAATTTGCAGTGTATATTTCTGATAATAATAAATTATGATAGCAAAATAAATTCGAGAATAAGTCTAAAATCGGTACATAGGTATAAAAAAGTAGTAAAGGGTATTTAATTAGTATTTTTAACTTATTTGGAAATACTAATAATAATAAAAATTTATTACAGGATCTGGTTATTAAGACCAATAAATATCGGAGATACATCCTAGAGGATGGCACCGTCGACATCTGTCGAGCTTGTCGCTATCCCAGTGAGTCACTTAGGCCATTTCACAATGTCATTTCCGGTTGTTCGGCGCTTTATAACTCTGAGTACTTGCACAGGCACAACCTAGTAGCCAGGATTCTGCACCAGGAGCTCGCTCTGAAATACGGTAAAATATATATGGGGGAAAAGTTTACCATATTTGGCATATATGTCACGCTTGGCAGGCGGTTTGGCGACCGCAGTAATTTTTTTTATTTTAACTATTTATTAGGTAGACGTTGCTGTCCACCTCCTGGTTTGATTCTTGCTGTCGGCTCTTACGACTCCCATGAAATGATATTGGGTAGTGGATATTATTACATAAAATCAACAAACAGCGGCCAAGTGCGCATCGGACTCGCCCATGAAGGGTTCCGTAGCAGCAAGTAACATAATATAAAAGTTCTTGTAGTTCGTTGTAACTTTGAACGATGTTTTAATAATAGTGTATTTTTTTTTAAATTAAGTTATTGATAAGTAAACATTATAATTAATGTATCGAAAAATTAGCTCAACGCGCACGAGCGTCAACGACGTCTGCCCTCACGCATAGATAAATATATATGTAGCAAGCTACAGATACGACAGTGACTTTTAGTCAAGTTTCCAACTATGCCTTTTGGCGCTGCAGTCGCCCAGTTTGACAGATGAGTGATAAAATAAAAAAAAATATAGCTTAGGGATTGCAAGCTCATATCCTTCAAATCATCGATATCGATATTTAGCGATGTTCTTATTTTATCGATATCAACGTAACGACGCATTATATAGTTATATTAAAATATTACTTAATGAAACAATTTTGTTACATAAACATTTATTTTTTATTCAAGCACACCAATATCATATACATACACACGTAATCTTAGGATTAAATTAAAAGTACATTGGGTTATATTAAAAATGTACATAACATTGTATGTAGGCAGAATTTGACGAAAACAGAGCAATATTTATTGTTCATTAGATAAAGCAAATAGCAAATTAAAGAAATTAAACCACAGGAATCATATTAAATCATAGTGTAAGTAATATTTTACTTTACAAGTTACTTTTTATATTAATTTTAAAACAGCTACAATTCAAATGGTTATGAATTAAAAGAGTACCTTCCCTGTATAAGATAAAGAACTTTTCGCTAGGATATGCCAAATTATTATTTGGTCTATATAACATTTGTTTGTTAGGCAAGACAAACATTTTTTCTAAGTTTGTAGTGTTTGGAGCTTTGTTTCATTAGTAGACATCCTATTAATTTTTAATTTAGGGTAAACCTGGCCATTTTTTAAATTGTTTTAATTACATTAATAATAAAGTTATTTGTTTAACATTCAACTTCTCTATATTTTGACAGAGATTGGACAATAAGCAAGCTTTTGTGAGGCTTAGTCACCTAAAGATTCAGTTACAAAATTTCAATATTTTATTATTGCCAATTTTATATACCAATTGTGTCCGTGTAACCTTATTAATATATTGATGAAAGTTTTTTTACAATGAAAGCATGCTTATTATATCCTAGCCAGGAAAAACTCAAAGTGCTCAATATTTTACTTTTAACATTACTTCTGATACAGCTATAATTCAAATACTTATGAATAACGTGAGTATCATCCCTGTACAAGATAAGTAATTTTTCGGTAGGGTATGCCAAATTATTATTTTTCAACAATTTATGCTCTAGATTTTATGTAAGAGTGAATATTTGTCTCTGTACTGCTGTTTTGATGCAATCCTTACAAGGAATACCTTTCGATATTTTCCGACAAATGTATCCAGCAGTATAAGCTGAGCAGTGGTATTCAATTTTTTCCATGACTACATCACCCACAAGCAATTTTTCTCTTGAAGTTGCTTGTGAAGAGGACAGGAGAGCTAGCAAAACATTAGGAGTGTTTTCAGAGTAATTTTCTTTATTATTATGAACATTTTTGAAAAGACCGCTAACATTTAATAATGTGTCTCCATAATCCTCTTCGCAATTAGAGAATTTCAAATGTGGACTAACCATGTTAGATAATATCAGATATTTAAAGGCATATATAAATATGTTTGCATCTAGGTCAACATTTCTATAATCTATAACTATTATACATTCAAAAATAAATTTCTAAAGGGTCTTGGCTAATATTTTTGTGATAATAATATTCTACATTATACTGTTAAAATAATAATTATCAACAAGTTTACAGTAACAAGTTATCCTTCCTTGTTGGGATGGCCCTCGCACAAGTCGAGGTTTTCCTACTTGGATAGCATGTTTGCTACTATATAGCATGGTGTCTACAAAAATCATTTTTTTTTAATTTTGTTAATGGCTTCAATCCAAAAAGTGTGATGTTGTAAATTTTGTTTAACCACTTGTCTTAACTTTCCTCTTTGCACATAAACCGGGTAGCCATTGACATTGTCAGTGTGTCGAAAAATTCAACAACTTCTGCTGTTGAGGCCATTGTTGCGTCAGAGTTTGCATAATGAAAATAATCTGAAAAAAATAATATTTTTAATTTAATTACTTTTACAGCTATTGCACCTGCAAGTATTTCACCAAAAGACATTTCCTATTTGCTTACAACAGACTTTGTTAACCTTTATACAATTGTAGTGTGGCTCACGGTATCCACTAATGTAATATCAATTATAAATTTAATGTAGTAATAAACAGCACTTGGCAGATACAGGTTGTCTCATTTAATAACGTCATTACATGGCGACCTTGAGAGACGAGCTGGCCACCGATAGTAATAAACTCATAATAAATATAAGACCTAATAAATACACACATTACCAAAATGAGGAAAATATTACATAGTGCCATAAAAAGTTTTGGGAACAAGTTGTAAATAAATATTTATAAAATAAAGTAAAAAATATAAAATAATGAGGCAAAGAGACAGCTAAGAAGACTTGAGACGAGAAAAGAGGATTCCTTTTTAATAGGATAAGGGTGACAAACGAGCACACAGTCCACCTGATGGAAGGTGGTTGCTGTGGCCCATAGATATTTATATCTATCCTTGATTACTAATCAAAATGCAGATGCATTGTCACCCGTGAGGACTAAAATGGAATGCCTCATTTCCAGTAAAAAGGGTCTCCTGTTTTCTACACCCACCATACGAAACAACAGCATTAAGCTGCTATTTTACGCTGGTATTCTGTGAAAGCGTGGTCCATTGGTTTAGTTGTAGCACGAACCATTCGTGCTACAACTAAACCACTAATATAGCTGCAGCATGGCTCTACCGCTTAAAAAATTGATGACAGAGATTACTTTCTTTTTACTCAGGTTAACTTTCAAAAAGAAGGTGACAGGCATCATCATAAACTCTCACAAATTTTAAGTGATATAAACAAAAGTTGTACTTTAACCTTTACTTTTCTTATTCGTCTTTGCCTTCTATCATTATCTCTGTCTACGTCTATAATGTGTGGTACTTATATATTACTTTCACAAACATGTATATTGTATTTCTTTACCTGACTTGTTTTGTGTGGTGTACAGTTTAGCTTAGTATCTACTTAACTATCTATTATATTGATAGGTTTAAGCGGATGGCATCCTTGAATTCCTTAGTATATTTATAGAGTTAATTTTAGCACTAACAAAGTTTGATTGTTTGTTGCCATTTGTTAATTTAAGGGAAACCTGTTATTGGCAATACTACATTACACATAGTTATAAGATATACAATTTGTAAGGCTGTTGGTTTTCTTAATAAAATAAATAAATAAATAAAAAGAATATTGGTTGAGAAGATATAAATTGAAGTACACAGTGGTATTCACATAGGGAATTTTAACATTATCAAACCAACCGTGGAGTAAAACAAATAAGAACACAATTATAAATTATGTTTCTAAAAAATTCTCGAGAATTTAATCAAGTGATCAGTTTTAGGAGAAATGAATTTTTGTGTTTTATCTATAAGAAAACAGGAAAAATGTTAATTTCAATCTTTTACCATTACTCATTTTTTAGATGGAAAACTATTAACACAAAGGAAGTGCTACTTGTATATTCATATCCTTATTATTTAAGCTTCATTATTTTGATATCAATGTGTAATGAAAAGTAAATTATGTGATTTATTACATAATATTTTTTTAAGGTCGAAGATTATTTTATAGTATATTTTAAGTGGCTTAGAATATTCCATAAAGAAATACAATTTTGTTTCTAAAATTTGTAAACCATTTCACATTTTGAATAACTCCCAGATCTAGGTACAATTTAAATTAGAAAAGTTAAGTTCCATCTGTATAGGATTTCTCTGTACAAAACATTAATTTGATATAGTAATTAATTGTAATTCTATACCTGATTTACCTAGTATTAGCAAAGATATTAGTAAAAAAATGTAATTTATACCATTTTTTTTTCAAAATTTCCGATAGGTCTTTATTTCTTGACAGGCATTGGGCTTTAACAAGTCTGAGAAACTGAGTCACCTAAAGTTTTAGTTGCAATCTTTGTCAAAATTTTAACCAATTTTCTCTTCTTTGATACTATTTTCTTCATCAATGTAACCTGTAATGAAATAAATAAAATAATTAAGTACTATATTCATATTTTGTAACTGAATGATAAACATAAAAATATTATTTTATTATTTAGAACTTTTGATGTGTTTGACTTGTTTTGACCATCCTATAAAAGCCCTTGCATTTAGAATAAGATTCGTTCTCATCATAGTAATGTAATCACGTAGTTAAGGAAGTCAGTATTGCACTGAATTAATTTTAATACATTACTGTAATGTAATAGTTATTAAATGTCATTGAGATATATTTGTAGTTTTTAAAAAGCTTCACCACCACTCCCAAAACTTAACTGGCGCAGCCAGCTCACAGCTTACAGCTGAGTTCAAGTACACTCAAATTGGTCTTGTCCACAGTTCCGGATATCCTCAAACCAAATAAGTTTGTTAAATCAGGAGCTGAAGAAACCTTCCTATTCAGACAAGAGGAGATCTACAGGTAGACGTGGCAGTGAGCGGACTGTAAATAAAGCGTTTTACTATCCTGTCTCATTGTAGTTATTTCCTGTGGTTATTTCTTTATGGCTCTATGTTGTGACTTTTGAACTAAAATCGTTGAAAGTTATTTGATTTCTGCACAAAACTTGGCAGTTATTTATTAGGTAAATATTATTATAAAGAAAAATAAAATGGATTAAATAAAAGTAATGTACTTAATTATAATCTTAACATTTTCACTGTCCGGTTAGCAGACACAATAGTAAGACAATAGCAGTGCCCTATATGTAGTGCACGGGACAACAAAAGGGTTAAGAAGTGCTAAAATTATAGAAAGAGAATAATTAACAGAATATTTTTGTATACATGTATTGATTTTTAAATAAAAATGGAACAGAGAAGAGAAAAAAGTATGTCACTTTCTTCAAATTAGACCTAAGGATCTAAAAAAGTTTGATCAGCATGTTTGATGGCGATCAAAGTATTTCAAGTTTATTTAATATATTATAAAATTTTTTATGGCATCAACAAGATTATACATACAAACTAAATAATATTATATATAACAATTACCTTATAGGATAAGATGCATCTCTTTTTAAGTGAAAGATTCTGGTGATTCTAGATCAAATTGAAACTGAATTAGAAAATATTCTTAGTGGTTTCAATACCTACTTAAAAAAAAATTATAGTTAACCAACTTCACAATCCATACATAATAATTCACAAGGTTTTAGATATTCATTCGTTTTGCAAATAATTTTAATTAGATTTAACCACAACATCAAATTTAGAATTACATGTAGCAGAAAACATTTCCTATGGCCTTATAATATTAATATTGGTTACTTAGAGATGGCCATCTCAGTGTAAGTGATGAAAAGTGGATTATAATTAAAGTTTCAAATTTAAATGTTTCGCATGAGCAGTTAGAATTTAATATTAATAGATACATGAACTTAAATACTTAAATAAGCATGTTAGAATTATTTTGACAAAAAAATCTCTAAACATTCAATTAATTATTATAATATTTCAAACTGAATTCGAAACAAATTCCAGTATTGAACAATTTGAACAGTTATCACCTTCATTTAGAGTCAAACAAGGCATTCTAAACTCCCTAAGATATATTATTAAGATTATTACTGGTGACTTCGATTATAAAGATGCTATAAAGTATGAAAATATGATTGGTAATTTAAAAATTCGTCAATACACACTAGTGAACAAGATTACCTTAATGAAATAAATAGAATCACTTGTTAAAATAAGTAACATTTATAAGAAATAATTTTATCAAGATTAATTCAAATTCAATTCTTGTGAATACAAGTAAAATAGTACAGGTAACATCTTTGAAAAAGATATATGTCATTGTTATATGCCTATCATTTCTTAGTTAGATGTTTTAAATTATTTTTAAATTTATAAATATCCTCCATTTCATGAAACATAGATGGAACTTTATTGTTGATTTTAAACAGTGTGCCGAAAACGCTTTATCTAAGTAAAGCTGTCTGATAAAATTGTATAATTTTATTGTCAATTATTAAATAATCATTAAATATTTCAGAATTCGTTTTTATAAGGCCAGGTCAAGAGTACCCTAAACCGTAGAGCATGTATGAAGGGAATAATGATTGATTTATTTTTACACAATTTCCAATCAATCTACACTAGATGGAATGAAATCAAAACTTCTGTAATCTTTAATAAATTAGGAATTTTACTTGTAGATATTGAAGAATTGTTAAAATCATTAAAATCAGTAGAGTTAACAAATAAATTTATATACCCCATAAGCTATAACAACTAAGTAAAAATAGAATAATGTATAAAATTAAGGGAAGTCAAATAACATTTGTTTTAGAAATAAATACTATACAGCCATCCTGTTACCACTCCCTCTAAACTATAATTTTAATTCTTTAATACCCATAACTACAAGTAAAAGGTTCTGAAATGGTCTCGCTCACTCAGTCTTGCAATTACAAGGCCCTATGTTCCTGCACTATGACGACAAGTCACAACTTGCACAAGTTGAAGATGCTTGTATGAATGCTTTAATGAGATTCCCAGATAGTACGAGCTCCTGCCATCCAGTACCAGACGAAAAGCAGATCTATATAAGCATTTTGGACATTAGTGATTTAATAAATCTTGAATATTTCAATAACCTTAAAATAAGGAAAGTGAAATAAAATATACTGTAAAAAATTTATAAATGTAAAAAGTGTTGTGATCAGAAGATGTCAATTACATCATTATTTATTAAAACAAAACTAAAAATTAAACCATATTCAAGCGGCATCTTTGAACATTTGTAATAAATTGTTGCTTTTTTGCAAGCTTTGTTCTAGTGATATTTTTATAACGATACATTTTCATAGCAAATATCTATATAATTTTTTGTCTTTCCATAGTTACAGACACAATTTTATTAAGTGACTGCCACTTTATACTATGTAGTTATAATTAAAAATGTTTGGTGAAATAATCACAAAGTGATGCAATGTTTTTTATTCAAAATGTATGGTTCAATACTTCATTACTGGAGTCCACTTGATACCTATTTAGAAATCACAACTTTCAGCAGCCGAAACTTAAGTACCATGATAAGTAATAAATATACTCGCCTGTTGCAGTCAGAGGCACGCCATGAGCTATTTAATCGTTAGTAAGCAAGCATGGATAAGAGTACCTATCGAAGTTTTCTGCCTAGTCAAGAAACGTTCTTTGGGAAGTTCAATGATCTAGGAATTTGTGAATACTATGAAATACATCCACAAGTTTCTTAAATTATCGTTTTTAGGGAATCTGCACCAACATAGCACTTTTCGTATTCCGTTAAGATAGTATCATAGTATACAATATGCACACGACCAGCACAAAAACGGAGTATTGTTATTTTCACAAATAACGGAGGAAACTTTGCGTCCAAGATGTCAATGCAACATAAATGCGAGGAAATACATTTGCGCTAAACTCAGAATCAATATCGATAATTTTGAATTTTGTCAATTTGATTTGACATTAACACAATATGGCGTTTTAAAATGGCGTCCGTAGCCAGAGAACAAATTGCGACGGTAGCGCCAAGTTGCATAGAATGGAACTAAGCTGTCACGGGCCTGCCCTCACGTGTCTGCCCGTTCGGGTAAGCGCAGTCGGGAACCTGCCCCCCGCGCGCTCCGCACCCGCTACCGATCAACCAACGCCCCGCGAGAATTATAATTATTATTTACTTAGGCACCTTTTACAGATTTATTATTAGAAAATAATGGTTCACGGTTTATGCATAAGGTTTATTTTTATGAAATTAAATGTTTTTTTTTTTATATTTGACTTGATTGAATGAAAGGTAAATTGCGGTTTACTATTCATGACGGATTAAAAAAAACTACTTACTAGATCTCGTTTAATACCAATTTTCGGTGGAAGTTTACATGGTAATGTACATCATATATTTTTTTGTTTAATTATTTTTATGTTTAGATGATGCAGGGTGCATACACACACACTTTACCACTTTGGAAGTGTCTCTCGCGCAAACTATTCAGTTTAGAAAAAAATGATATTAGATACCCCCATACCCCACACGTATGGTTTGATAAAAAAAAAATTGAGTTTCAGTTGTAAGTTTGGGATACCCACAAAAATTATTGTTTGTATTTTCTATTTTAGTGTGAAAATCTTAATGCGGTTCACAGAATACATCTACTTACCAAGTTTCAACAGCATAGTTTTTATAGTTTAGTGGCTCTGACATACGGAAGGACAGACAGACAGACATGATGAATCTATAACGGTTCAGTTTTTTGCCATCTGGCTACGGAACTATAAAAAACAACGTGATATTAAAATCTTAAACTCTCTAGCGTTAAAGAGCAGCTTAGTGTTTTGCTTAATGTTAATGTTTTGTATTGTGAGTGTAGAGAACCGGTTTTCTCTTATTCTGTTGATGAAGAATTAGAATCGTAGTTCTAAGTGGTGACAACGCATCTACATTTTGATTCTTAATCTGAGTTGAACTCGTTTGTCACTCTTATTCTTTATAAAAATCTCTTTTACTCTGATATAGCCTTCATTTTTTACAAATCATAAGCTACGATTTTAATATAATGTTGTTTATTATATATAATATAGAGAATGTATCTCGTACCACAGAGACCATTGCGTAATAATTTGCAGACAACTGAACGACATTGTACAGGTGGGGTCAAATTGTCAGGTACAGTAATCACGAGAACGGAATTGTCCTTTCTGTGGTTACAAAATCACTGACTTAATTCAGTGCCAAAATTAATGTTCAAATAAATTTGTATAGAAAAAGGAAGTCAAGAATCTTTATACAGGTACGTATTGTTGGTTTATACTTCTGTGTCATAGCACAAGCCGTGGTAGCTCAGGGATTAAGTACTTGTTTTCCAGTACGCGAGTAATCTGAGCTCGAATCCGCCGTTGCCAGTGTAGTAGTTATTAGTAGTAGCTTAAAGTATATAATTTTTCGCTTTTACAGAATACTAACGAATAGCAAATTAATACTCCTAGACTTCCATCATAGTTTTCAGTAGTGAAAAAGACGAATGAGCATTTTGAATCTTTATCGACGATTATTATAAGTGCTTATTGGCCACAGCATCCACTTACTTAAAGTCTGACCAGTAGTTTTTGAGTGAGTAATATGTAGTGTTTTTTTTTTTTTTTATAGGAGAGGGGGCAAACGAGCATGCGGCTCACCTGATGGTAAGTGACTACCGCCGCCCATGAACAACTGCAACACCAGGGGAATCGCAGATGCGTTGCCGGCCTTTTAAAAAGGAGTACGCTTTTTTCTTGAAGGTCCCTAAGTCGTATCGGTCCGGAAAAATCGCTGATGGTAATCGATTCCACAAGGAGGTCGTGCGAGGAAGAAAACATCTTCTAAATCGCACAGTGGTGGACCGCCAATCATCCAGATGGTGTGGATGGTATCGGGAGTTCTGCCGCGATGTGCGTTCGTGAAATTTGGCGGCTGGGATTAATCCGAACAATTCCTCAGAGCACTCCCCATGGTAGATGCGAAAGAAAATGCAAAGGGATGCAACATCTCTTCGCAGTGCCAATGAATCGAGCCGATCGGAAAGGGCTCGGTCGTCGACAATTCGAGCCGCTCTGCGTTGGATGCGGTCAAGTGGAAGGAGCTGGCACTGGGGAGCCCCTGCCCAGAGATGGGAACAGTATTCCATGTGAGGCCAAACTTGCGCCTTGTAAAGTAGCAGGCGGTGTGCCGGCATGAAATACTGTCCCGCTCTGCTGAGCACGCCAAGCTTTTTAGAGGCCAATTTGGCCTTCCCTTCCAAGTGACCACGATACTGGCTGAGGCAAGAAGGGGAGTGCCTTGAAACTGAGGAGATACGACAAAGGGGTTCTTTTTAGCGGTAAACGCGCAAACTTGTGTCTTCTGAGGATTAAATTGGACTAGATTTAGTCGCCCCCAATCCGAGACTTTGTTCAGCAAAGACTCGACTTCAGACACACTTTATCAGAGGCAGTTTGAAAGTGGTCTCAGTCACGGAAAAGTGGAGAAATGGTAGGTTAGCGTGATATGAACAGATGTATTATGCCAAGAAAAGTAATTCACGTAACAAAAAAAATTGTTGCCTATTAAAGAGGATGGACATAAGAGGTCTAAGAAAAAATGATATGTACTTTATTAAGCATTATTATTATTATATGCGTAAGAAAGGGGTGAGTGAAGAGAATATGGTTAATAGAGGAGAATGGAAGAGGAAGACGTGCTACGCTTACTCCAAATAACTAGGGATAAGGGCAGGACGAAGATGAAAACTCTTAATAATGACGGTCACTGTTGATTTTTTTCATAGTAGAACAGCATCTAAGTTCAATGATATATTTCAGATATCGAATAATAAAGGGCTCTTCTCCAAGTGCAGCGATCATTACTAAATACGTTTCGAGATATCTTGATGCTAATGTAATACAGTTCCGAGATCAATTTGTAGGACAAATTGCATTAGACTTACTAAGTGCTAGCATGCTTGCCTAGTAATAGTAGCCAATATCTTTTAGCAATTTATATTTTTTTTAATATTACCTCCACACTAGGATTTTTCCCCTGTATCATGTAGGCATTATCACGTTTAGCCTTATGATATTTATGTATGTAAACCTACAAACATAAATTGTATACGTGTAAACATATATAAATTGCATAAGGACAAACGTCCAGACCCGGAATAGTTATATATATTTAGTAATTTTAATTTAGAGGAAAAAATATTTTTTGCTGTTGAACTCTTTGCAATCTTTCAATTTAAGCAAACTTCCAAAAAGATGGTTCTCAATTCAACTGTGTTTTTTTTTACGTATGTATATTAAGCAATATCTATCTCTAGGTGTCATTAAAATTTGGAAGAAAAATTCCACCCCTGAGGAAAGTAAAGAAAGAAATTACGACTATGTCCAATCAAAATGGTTAAAAATAATCTTTTAATAAAAAGTAAAAATCGATTTCGAAGAACTGAAAACAGTGGATTATTTTTCGAATAACAGCTTTTGAAGTCGGGGTTTTAATCCTTCTATATATTTCCTGATTTATGAAACGTTTAACGTTTTATACTTATGGAATTACAAAACGTTTCGTGTTCCCTTACGAGCCGTTTTGCTGTATTGAAGTGTAAAATAATAAAAAAATAATAAAATTTGAGCCACACGCGAGCAACTCGGGTTCGATCCTCGCCGGCACCAATGAAATGGTTAATTTCAGTTTAAAATTTTCTGCTCGACAGTGAAGGAAAACATCATTAATTTGCATGTCTGAGAAATCAAAAAACTATATTTCGAAGGCATAGGTATAGGCATAGGCTTCCTTTCATTTGTGCCCGGCAGTATATAGGCTGCAACTTTAAAGGCTGGCTGTAAAGTTAGTTTTAACTTTTCATAAAATTATCAATTTGTGAGCTGGTTGTATAGTCAGATTATATTTAATATTATTTACTTAAATAGCTCCCGATGCCCAGCTATGTCTCATCTTATTGCCTGCAGCCTTTTAAAAAGCTACTTGACTATCATCCTGTATTTGTGTTATCCCATCCAAGAGCAGAGTGCTTGGCATTCTCTTTGTTATTTTGCATAATTTCATACTTTGTTCCGATAAAATCGTCACAAAAGGTATCCAAAGAAACTTAAAACCGAAGAAAGGTATTTTATGTTGCAAAAATCATTTTGTTAATCTTGTAAATAACAATAAGAAGGTTGAAAGTATTTAGTTTAGCTTAAATACGAAAAGAAATATATATATATATATATATATATATATATATATATATATATATATATATATATATATATATATATATATATTATCGTATTTAAGATTTCATAACAAGCAATAAAATTAAATTAAAACTTCATATAAAAATCCTTATATGAAACATCTAAAAAGTAAGTCAAAGTTTCTACATAAGTGGTGTCGAGAGATTTATAATGCCCTCACTCTTAGACAGGCTCCATTGACTGGTGACCGTTGGTTGTGTAACACTGAACTGGCCGCTGTGGGCCTTGATTAAGAGAGAACTGTGAGCGTTTCCTCCACCGGTATGGACAGTACGGTACGCGCATAAGAGTGGAGAAGAATTAGAGTAACTCTCACTCCACTACTCACTACTCCCCTATACAGCTACGAACTCCCAGCTTACGTATTTTCATGTTGTTGTATATATAGTCAGACGGTTTAACAATTTTAATAATGCGATGTAGAGCCCTCGCTTATACAAGGATTAATTTAGTGTTATCCTGTTTCGGTGCCCCTGCTTGGCTTGCTCATTAAAAGGACCTACTACCTTATGTGTATCAGCAATAACGATATAAATAGCATTCCTATAGTGCGTGGATAGGTCAAATGAGCCTCTTATTTGAAAGTAATGAAAATAATGGAAGACTGTTTTGATATGTTTATGTAATTTTTATGAATATTTTTTTCATTTTTAATTACAAAATAGGTAGATACGAAAATTATAATTTGAATTTGTTTACCTGTTC